GGGGGGAGAAGGTCCCAGGTGCCCCCCCAAAACCCACTCACTGCCGCTTCAGCTGGGCCAGCGACTTCTTCTCGGCTTGCCGGTGGGAGCGCATGCTCTTCAGGATGCTGGCCTTGAACAGTGCCACGCCCCTGCAGGGATGGGGACGGCAAGAGGGTGAGGGGGGCACCCGCACCCCGGCATCCGCGGGGACCCTCCGGGACCCCAGCCCCACCTGGAGGCCTGCAGGGCAGAGGCCTGGAGGTCCAGCATGACATGCAAGAAGTAGTAGCTGAGGAAGACGCGGCGCTGGAGCAGGAGGAAGAAGAAGCAGATGCTGTCCCAGATGATGCCCGCCTCCTCCACGGGCAGCGAGCAGTCCTGGTCCTTGCCCATCTCCTTGGCTGGCAGGCAGAGACGCAGGCAGGTCAGGCAGCAGCCCAAACACGCACCCTCGGACCCCCGAGGCCAGCAACTCACGGTCGTAGTAGCCCTTGACGGTGCAGACCAGGCTGAAGAGCTGGATCACCCAGCAGAAGTTGCTCTGCATCTGCTGCACGAAGACGCAGGAGAGGAGCTGCAGGGAGAGAGGGCAAAGCGCGGGGTTTGGCGAGAGGGGGACAGTGCTGCCACCCGTCCCCTCCCCAGGGGATGCCCAGGGGGTGGGTGGCCCCAGGGAGCAGCCCAGGGGCCGTTGCATGGCCAGGGCCCGGCAGCCCTCACCGACAGCATGTTTTTGGAGATGATGACGGTGATGTTGTAGAGGATGAGGCAGTCCCAGAGCACGAGGCGTGCCCGCGCCGGCTTTCGCAGGAGTGCGGTGCCAAAGAGGAGGAGGTAGAAGCAGGCCAGCAGGTAGCCGAGGCCGAAGAGGCTGATGCGGGTGGCCCCAGTGATGAAGACCACCACCAGGACGAACCAGAAGAGGTAGCGGAAGACCACCACCTTCGCCATGTCCAGGTACGACCTGTGGGATGGGCCGCTCAGAGCAGGGTCCCCATCCCCTCCCAGCACCCACGCTTGGCACCACCAGGGTCTGGTGTGCAGCGAGGTGCTACCCCACACCCCAGCCAAACCAGCATGGTCCCAAGTCCCCGCATCAGCCCTGTCCTGGGGGACAAAGTGCCTTGTCCCAGTCTACGGGGTCCCAGTGCCCATGGCGGTCCTGCACCATCACCAGGGCTCTCCTGGACCACTGTATCTCCCTCAGGGGTCCCAGCACAGCCTCAGGGTGCTCCTGTCCCAGACGTGGGGGGTACCATCCTAGTGGCAGGGGGTCCTGTTCCAGACATGGGGGGGCGGGTCCTGTCCCAGCCCAGCATGGTGGGGAGGGCTTCCCTGGCCCAAAGGGGTCCCAGCGCTGGTGTGGTCCCATCCCCATCCTAGGGAATCCCAGCCCAGCAGGTCCCACTGACTGGGGGTCCCATCCTGTCCACACCCCAAAGGGTCCCATCTCGGGGGGGGGGGG